CTCACGCTTTGGGTGTGTTACCAGGAGGGGCCAGTACTTGGAACACAACATCATGCCAGGAAAACGGGACCAACTAAAGACAACTCTCAGCAAAAAAATAAAAAACAAAAATAAAGACAACAACAAGAGAGTTGGAACAACTGGCTTAAGCATGTCAGAGACTGAGGATGGTTCCCACCTGTCCATCATAGGGTCCCTATCAGAGTCCACTTGACGGCACTGAACATCATCAAGAATGGGGGCCATGAGGGTCTTCGAGGTTCTGTACTCGACTGCTGACTGAAAAGTCATTTGTTCAAGCCCACTAGCCGCTCTGCAGGAGACGGATGTGGCCGGCTGCTAGTGTGAAGATTTACAGCCTTGGAAACCATACGGACTAGTTAGTTCTACTCTGCTGTCGGGTACTTGTGAGTCAGAATCAATGACTGGGATTTTAATGACAACTGCATGAACTGGTAGTTTTCAAAGAATCTGGTGTAGAGAGAAAGAGTTTTCAAGCTGTTCTCTGAGGTGTTACTGGGACTATTTAAAAAAACCGCATTGCTGTTTTCTCTCTGGCCTCCTGGCAGCATGCTGTAGGGTTTGGGCCCCCCGACTTTCCAGGGTCTCCTCTTGTTTATTATTCTTAACTCTCACAGGGTCTGTCTCACCAACATGCTTCCTTGGCATTACCTTAATAAACCTTTTTCACTTGTTTTGATTAAAAAAAATCATTGCTGTAGAGTTGTGAATAATTTGGAGTTGACCTTCATTCAGGATTTGATTACCAGAAGCTCTTATTTTTTACTTTCCAAGTTACTGTGTACATTGTGTACATTTTGCTTGGCAAGAATGGAAATGAATGAAATTTATAAATGTGACCTTAATCACTGACCCCAAGTGGAAGTCAGAAACTACTGCAAACCTTTTAAAACGAAAGCCCTTCCTAGAAAAGACCCCAGTACTTGGGCAAGGCCTATGATAAATGCGAATCACAGACTTCCTCCTCCTGCCACAAATGTCAGATATGCTCGGCATCTGAACAGCCTGCATTTCCCTCCTCTTTCTGAACAGCTCCGCTTGGAAAGGTCAGCATATCCCCTTGGGGGAGGGGAGAATCTTTGCTTATAAATTGGAATGTTTGCACACATTAACTGTAGAACTGTTTAACATTTGCTTTATAGGGCAGCAATTTGCTCAATAGTGTGGAATTGTTCTTTTTCCATTTTGCTGCCCGCCTGTACATCATAGGCATCCAAATTAGTGAAATAACTTTGAGGTGCTTCTTTCAATAGGATCATTAATCTTGTCCACAAAACTAGCCAACGCCTTCGGTTTCCAAAAGGCAAGCTATGTGCCATCTTTTATGTACTCCAAAGGGACTAATTTCTTTTCTAAAAAAACAATATAATAAAAATTAATTTTATTATGTTTTTGTGTACCATCAAATAAGATCTGACTGGTACAGGAGGAGATTGTCCTGCCTTCTCCAGCAGAGCATCTGGTGGATTCGAACCACACACCTCTGGAATTGCAGTGCACAAAGGGACTAATTTCTTGGAGATTTTGGTTTGGATCTAAGCAGTAACTTTCTAGAGACCTCATGTTCAAATCCTGAAAGAAGAAGATGAGAAGAGGAAGACTTCAAAGAAGGAAGCAATAAGGAATAACTCTTCCAGGATTGTTTATACTTCTGTGTACTTTTGTTCAACGTGATAGCCATAGTGTGCTCACATAGTTTGCTTCATTTGGATTGTCTGATTTAAAGAAGGATCTAGAACAGGAAATTTGTAATCAGCTGTCTTCTGTTGGATAATTTACAGAAAAGTGGCTCAAGGAGAGTTTCCTGAAGGAAATGTGAGACGGCAATCCCTGACTGAGTCGAATGAAAGATGGGCTGAAATGAGAAGTGGCTGGGTGCCCTCAAGTTGACTACAACTCATAGTGACCCTGTGACCCGCGCCATCGTGATTTAGCAATGACTAAAAAGCCTCAGGGAAGATGCTGTCATGGGTGTGTTCATGTGAGCTGGGTTACAAGAAGGAAGCCGAGTTACTAGGGGGCAGTAGTTGGTGACACTTTCAGTTGCCTTCAAAAACAATATTCCTTCCACTTTGGCCAAATCCCTGACTGTTCACTAGAGCCACACAGCATGTGCTGTGTTAGTACATGTGCACATGTCTGCTGCATACATGTATTCCAAATAAAAAAAAACACCAAAAAACAAACACCCATTTCTCCATACAGTACTTTTCACGTTTTGGATCTTGGTATTGCATCTTCTCAAAGGCTTCTCTTCTTTGTTGTTGTTATGTGCCCTCGAGTCACCTGTGAGTCATAGCGACCCTACACATACAACAGCTCTGAACTCTGCTATATCCTGAGCCGACCTCATTGTCTCTAACACACCTACCTCCATTACCCCAGGCACTGAGTCAGTCCATCTCATCCAGGGTCTTCCTCTCCTGCTCTGTCCTTCAGCCCTTCCAAGCATGATGTCCCTCTCCAAGGACTGGTCCCTCCCAGCAACATGCCCAAAGTATGTCAGATGGCGCTTCAGAATCCTTGCCTCCAGGGAATAGCCTGATCTCATCCTCTCCAGGACAGACCTGTTAGTTGTCTTCTCAGTCTATGGTAAATTGAAAACTCTTCTCCAGCACTACAACTCAAAGGCACTACTACTGCTTCTGTCATCCTTAGTCATCGTCTGGTGCTCTGATACATAGCAAGCAATTGCAAAGACCATGGCCTGGATCAGGTGCACCTTAATCTCCAGACTGACACTGTTGTTCTTCAGTACTTTTAATGGGTCCCTTTTCTCCTGTTAGTGATTTTTTTTCTCCTTCAGAAATATGTTGATGTCTTAACCCCAATGACCTAGTTCGCAAATAGGGCCTTTGCAGATTGCAGTATAGTTAAACGGGAGTAGCATGAGTCCTAATGCAATATGAGTGGTGCCCTGATAAAAGAGAAAAGATACAGAGGCACAAACAGGGAAGGGAGCGACAGAATGGAGTGACCTACAAACCAGGGGGTGACAGGGTGGCCAGCCGTCAACAGACGCCCCATGACAAACATGGAACTGCTTCTTCCTCAGAGTCCACAGAAAGCCAGCATCATCAACATGGCTAATGCCTGATTTGGGATCTTAGTCACTGTAAGAGGAGTCCTAGCTGCATGGTGGTTAAAGCACTCATGGCTTCTGACTGAAAGGACAGCAACTTGAACCCACAGGCATCCGCTACCGTAGGGATTTACAGGCAGGGAGACCCTGTGAGGTCAATTCTGCTCTGGCCTGCAAGTCAGAACTGATGATGGCAATGGTTTTCTTAGGAGGCATTAGCTTCTAGAGCTGTGACTCAGTCATTTTTGTTTTTCTAAGTCACTCATCATGTGGTGCTCTGTCATAGAAGTCCTAGGACGCAATTACAGACTTCTGTTTATTTATTTTTTTGATCATTCGCAAAGGCATGAAAACGTGCTTAATCTCAACATTGGGGGAGGGAGCTAGCCTCAAATCCCTTTGTAGCAATCATTAATTACTTCTTTCACAGTAAAACTTTTTTTAAAAATGGGTGCTATGTCCACCAATTTTCACTTTCTCTCTTCACCCTTGCCTATTAGCCCAACTTTTCAGAAAGTACTCAGTATTTGCCTATTGAAATACATTTGAATAAATACATTACAAAGAAATGTATTGTTAAATTAAAAGTGCAAACAAATGATCAAATCTATTTCTACCCTTATTCACAAATTTTGATAAAGACAGTGTAGGAAAGCCTCATCTTTCTGGCTTGTCTCTCATTTTTGATACTAATTTTCCTTTCCTGATTCCCCACTTTTAAAACATGACACAATCTGCTAGCCAGTTAATCTGTGCTGCGATATACATAAGTAAAATGAGGGAGCTCTGGTGGCTTCATGGTAAGGAGTAGCACTGCCAACCCAAAGGCACATAGTTTGAATCCACCAGCTGCTCTGTGGGAGAAAGAGTAATCTGTGTGATTTATGTTGTCGTTGTTAAGTGCCATAGAGGTGAGCATGACTCATAATGGCCTTATGAACAAAAAGATCTGAACCCTGTTCCTTAACTATCGTCACTTCTCTAACATTCATAGTGTTTTCAGAGGCATGCTGTTTAGGAAGTGGATGCCAATACTGCTTCCAAGCCTGCCTGAATTGGGAGCTCCATCAAACACCGTACACCATGGGTAACAATTAGGAAGTTTGATTTCTAGTCTCTGATGATCATCTATGTGTTGCTTCTGACTTAAGGGAAACATCACAACAAGACACACACTGGTTTATATAGGAGGCTAGGACATTTATTGAAATGGAAACACTAATCTTTATTTTGTCATGCTTAATTGTGTGATTACAAATTCCCAATAAAACACTATTTATAATAAGCAAATTAATACATTGTAATTTTACATACAGCTTCATCAATTAACAGTTTTAAGAATAAACGAGCCATTTAAGACTTTGGAGCTACATTTAGCTTTTTTATTTTAAAAAAAACACAACCCAAACAAAAGCTACACTCACACCTTACCAACCCCAAGTATACTAAGGAGCTATTCAAGAATTCTTCAATTACACAAATACACTTTTATTTTTGGTTACAGTCCCCTGCTATGCACAAGACCACTGGAATGCTGGAACAATGACACATCTGGCAACGGCACAGAGCAAAGCGAGGAGGTTACATACCACCCTTACAGAAGCTGTCTTCAAAGTGCAAACTGCATTTTCTCTTCCTGAACCACCGGGATAAGGACAAGCACCTCAGACAACACGGTGGGGTCACGAGCATGCTTTCTAGACCACACTGGCGGGACACCAACTGGACCCAGGGCTCCTGGAAGATCCCTCCAGTTTTAAACAGTGAACAAGCTTTGACTAAATATAGTGCAAATCAAATACCGAGGAGCAAAAGGACAGACTAGAGATCACCACGGATCAACCTGCTGTTCCTCCACCTGCCACGGGACACCCTGGCTCACCGGAACCACTTGGGCTTACGTTTTGATGTGAAAGGCGGTACGGCGGAGTGAATGCAGGGCAACCACACAGCAGCCCCGGAGCAAGGCTCCGATGTTGTAGACAGGATCAGTTCCCCCTCTCTGAGTACTGAATGCCCACAGAACGGTGGGGACCACGGGTGCTGCCACGGCCAGGAGATCCACGAGGAAGCTGCTGCTCCAGTACTGCTTCCCCACGTCCCCCCGAGATAAGGGGATGAGGCTGTCCAACCTTTCTCCCGCGTAGGCAGCAAAATCCAGCTCTTGCATGAGTTGGTTCTCAGGAACTTCTGCCTCCAACAGGCTGCAGGGGGTCTCCACAGGAGACAAAAGGATGGCTGAGTTGGGATTTCTTGGAGTTAAATCAATCACTAAGGCAGGTCTGGACACTGGGGAGCTTTCCGGCAGCTCGGCCCCAGACTCGTCGGGGGATGCTGAGGCCAAGGAGCAGGGTTCCTGGAGCTTGAGCAGGCTCTGAATGAGCTCCGAGACTGCGGGGCTGAAGGGCACCACGTCGGTCTGGACAGCTTGCTCCACCACCACACTGCCGTCCTCCGGACCCCCTGCCCTGGGGAGGCTCTCGAGCACCTCTGCCCCAGGGGGAGAGTGGGCAAGGGCCAGGTCATCAGGCTCTGTGGTAGGGCCTGTCACCATCTCATCCAACAAATCTGTGCCATCAGCCACGCTATCTCCCACCAGCAGCTCGCTGTCAGCTCCCTCCTCTGTGATCTGCTCTTCCAGGGACAGCCCATCTGCCATCTTGTCAAATGGAGCATTTGGGGTGAAGCTCTTTACTGGGGAGTCGCAGGGGAAGTCTAGACACAGCTCATCTCTCAGGGAGCCACTGTGCGCCATCTCCATACTCTGAAGGAGAGACTCCAACTTCTTGTTTTGGATATTGATGTCCACAAAATACTTCTGGATGCCTTTATCCTTATCGGCCAAGCTGCTCCTCATGGTCTCGATGACCTGTTTGAGTTGTTTAATCTCTTTCCTGGCTTCCTTGAGCGCCAGCTGGGCCTCCACCCGGTGGCACTCCTCTTCAATCCAGTCTTCCCGCATACGGGCCAGCTGGGACTTGAGCTCCACAATTTCACTTTCCCTGCAGTGGGAAGACAAGCAGGTTAAGGAACGTGTCACTTTAGAAACAGGTGGCAGGCAGTTCTGACATGCAGCCAAGAGCCCGTGTGTTCTGCTTGAAACATGGCAGCTGAGTCAGTGCTACTGTAAAATAGCCAAAGTAACAATCAGAGTGAAAGCCGGAATCTCTACCATTGTGCACGGCCACCATTTTTCGTGCTTACTTTATGGCAGACATTATACTAAGTACTTTGCAAATGTCACCTCTATTCAATACTGGATTTTATTTTTAGAACACAAGGGCATCTCTTAGCCTGCTCTAATTCCCATCACCTAACCTTTCAATGTATTCCTCACAGTTTGTTGTTGTTGTGTGCCACAGTCACTTGCGACTCAGAGCGACCCTATGTACAACAGCCCTCAACCCTGCTCTGTCCTGTGCCAATCGCACTGCCTCCATCACAACCATCCGATTACCCCAGTCACTCAATCAATCCACCTTATAAAGGGTCTTCCCCTCCTACGCTGTCCCTCCACCCTCCCAAGCATGATGTCCTTCTCCAATGAATGGTCCCTCCTTGCAACATGTCCAAAGTATGTCAAGCGAAGCCCCAGAATCCCTGCCTCCAAGGAGTAGCCTTGTTTAACCCTCTCCAGGGTGAACCTGTTTGTTTTCTTAGCAGTCCATGGTACTTTCAATACTCTTCTCCAGCACCACAGCTCAAAGGCATAAATTCTCCTTTGTCCAACTCCATTTCCCTTTTAATGAATCTATTAGAGGCCTACTTTGTAGGCTTGTAGACTCTTTCTCTTCTCTGATTACAGTCACACTGGAAACAGCTCCTAGCTGTCTCCCCGGTGGGTGGTGGATCCTTTACATCGTGTGGGAGGAAACCACCCGTCTTTCTCCCTCAGAGTGGCTGGTGGACTTGAACTGCCCAGGAGCCACACTCTCTTAGCAGCCCAACTCAATACGACTAGGCCACCAGAACTCACTTAGATCTGCAGACTAGCTGTTGTTATATATCACTGAGCCAGAACTGACCCACAGCTGACTCTCAAGTAGGGTTTCAGAGGTGGTTAACTGAACAGGAGAGTATCTAAAATGCTAACTGATAAATATTTTTAATCATGAAATGGTGTAAGATGTGAGGACATTAAGAAACATTTCTTATTCGACCTCTTCTCCACCAAGGTGACTTTAAATCCAGCTTAAACAGAGGAGAATCTACCCCATGTTTTAGATTCACAGAAATCTGTGTTAAGATCTTTGTTGAGAAATCCTTCCTTCTGGTGAGGTGCTGCTGAATTAGTTCCAACTCACCGGGATCCCACAAGTAACAATACAATGCTTCCTTAAGTGTAACAGAATTTCAATCTAAATGTGTCTCCATGGTTTTTAATACTCCAGGCAATCAGAGTATTCATGCATTTGTTATTTAGTACTGCTGCCTCAAGTTCTGGTTTGAATAGTCCCATCCCTCAAATATCACTGCTTCCTTTTTTTAAAAAAAAAAAATTATTATTTGTGTGTCTGTGTACCATCAAATCAGATCTGACTGGTATAGGAGGAGACTGTCCCTCCTTCTCCAGCAGAGCATCTGGTAGATTAGAACTGCTCACCCCTGGGATTGCAGTGCAGCTTCTTGCCACTAGGCCACCAGAGCTCACCCTCACTGCTTCTTCTAGAATTCCCTCCCATGAGGGCTCATACGGACACCTCAAATCAGAAACCAAGTAATTTCAGAAACAGGAATCTGACTCATTCCAAAAGTGGATCTGGCCTTCAAGTCCACTTTGGGTAGGAACCCAAAATAATTTGGAAGATGAGGGATGCCTCCCTTCACATTCCCTACCCATAGATGTCTCAGGTGTTAATCAACTACGGCAACTTTGTGGGAACTGCAGCATGCGGAATCGGAATCCAAGGAGCCCAGAACACCCCTTGCACTAAACCCACTGAGGTGCTCACGCCGCTCAAAGCAGCTCCTGGAGTCTGTCCCAAACCTTCTGGGGAAAACCACTGGGCAGAACCCCAGCCTGTCCCAAGATGTCAAAGGTCTTTTCCTTTGAGATAAGATCTCATACGCATGGACTTGGTTTTTGTTTTGTTTTCCATCTTAACACTTGGCCAAGAATAACAAACAGTTTCCCTCAGCACAGAAATAGTTGCAGGCATGACAATGCACACAGCTATCCAAGCTGGCCGACTGGGAGTCGGAGTTTAACAGGGACATACTCAAGTGGAACTCACCCACACTGAACAATTTCTATTGTTAAGGCTTTTCTATGGCTTGAGAATGATGTAAAAAACCAAGAGGCAATTGCTCTACATATAATTTGGTTTAAAAACCAAAAAAATGGCAAATCTGCTTCAAGAGATCTTTTTTAAAGTGTTAAAAAGTGCAAAAGTGTCAAAGATGTCACCTTGAGGTGGACCTGACCCAAGCCATGGTATTTTCAGTCACCTTATTAACATGCAAAAGGTGGACAAAAAAAATAAGGAAGACCGAAGAACTGATGCATCTGAATTAAGGTGTCAAATAATATTGATTATACCACGAACTGCTAAAGCAATTTCCAAATTTGTCTTGGACAAAAAGCACAGTGAGAAGATTCTTTCAATGTTAGACTTCATCTCATGTACTTCATGCTGTCGAGAGGGTCAATTCTCTGGGCACGGACATCCTGCTTGGTAAAGAAGGTCAGCACAGAAAGAGGAAGACCTTTATTGATGGATCAGCACAGTGGTCCAAGCAGTGGCCTCAATCAAACATAGCGACAACTTCGAGAATACTGCAGGATGGGCAGTGTCCAGGATGAGTTGGACTCCACAGCACCTAACAACAACAACAACATAATACACAGGCCCTTCTGTGGGAAGTACTGTATTGTTCCTGTAAGTGTTCTTGACATTTAAAAATAGTCACACACATACGCCCGGCTTTTCAAGTCAAAGCTGCACACGCCCAGAAACAGCAGAGTGTTGCCTCTGACCAGTGTGCCTTTGACTGCTGGAACAGATGAATCACAATGCTGAAATGGCTCTTTTGAGAGTTTGATTTTAAAGAAACTGGCAGCAACAAAACAAAACCAAACCCATTTTCTTCTTTGCTGTTTTTCTATCATTTGGGCTCCCATTTCATTTTAGAGGTAAATGTACTTTCTTAAACCAGAGTCTGCACGTCCAGTGGACTCACCGTTCCTGAAGCCGGCGCTCGGACTCCTTCAGCTTGGTCTTGAGGTGTCTCACTGTGACCTCTTTCTGCTGCAAAGGAGTCAAATACTGCTCCGGATTTGGGGGTTTGACACCATGATTTTCACCGCAAGACGTGTACCTTCCAGACCGCCTAAAACAACCCAAGTGAGGAAATGTTACTTCTGGTCCTGTCTCCTTTATTATGAGGAGCAGAGGATTCATCTACCTGAGACGAGAAGAATTAGCTGGTGCCCGGCCACCACACTACCACTGCTTTGATTAGGGCCATCGCAGATGGATGGCCTCTGATAAAATGGGTGAAAGTACGGGGGGTGACTTATAAAACGAGTTGAGATTGATGGACTCTCCAATATTACTGCTCTGCGATGCTCTTTAAGATGTGAACTGAAATGAAGCCATGTTTCAGTTTAAACTTAATAAATTAGCTCACAAATGAATGAATATTGCCTATAATGATATATAACAAAAAATAATTTGTCTGAGATGAAAGAGTCAATAATTACTTTAAAACAAAGATGGGAATGTAATGAGGCAAGGAAACCAGGTTCATAGAAATGGAACCGCCAGAATGTAAATTATGAGAATCTCAAAACATTGTAAACAATGCAACTGATGTCACCAGTTTGTGTAGAAATATTTGAATGGTAAATGAAACTGCCATAAACCTTCACCTAAAACACATTTTTTTTAAAGCAGCAGCAAATTTGAGGTAGATAGCTTCAAGGATGTGCGACTTTGCACAGATGGTGGACTTTAATATACCTGTCCATCTTAGGACTATTACTGGGATGACTGAGATGGGAGTTGTATGTTTGTGGTCAAGGAGCAGAGGAGAGGCAGGGCTCTTCTATGGTTTAGGAGTGATCTCACAACAAATAATGCACAATTGTCCACAGTCTTGCACTGTCCGTTCTGTGATATGAAAAGGACAATGCGTAGAAGGTGGGGAGAGGGCGGGAAGGGAGCGAGATGACCTAACTCCACACAATGTGCCACAGCCTCCAGACCCCAATTGTTAGAAGCTGAATTCACACCATTCTGGAATCAGTCCTCTGCTCAGTACACTGATTTGGTAGAAGCTGATATGTTCTTATTCAGAAGAGAGGAGGAGGCTATTCCCCTCTCTGGGTGGGTGCTTTGGGAGAGAAGCACCTAATGTTTTACATAATATCCGGAGGTGGACTCTTGGCCCCCATAGCTCTGGCCAAAGCTGGACATCCCTGCTGGAGAAGGGCTGATTAATGAGAACAGGCCAAAGACCACTGCAGGGAGGTTGGCGGCTTCTCAATTCACGCCAACTCAGGCCAGGCTGCTGGCCCCGCTCCTCTGATCCTCTGTTCTGTCCAACAAGGGCTGCACCCAGGTGCAGTTCCCAATCCCCTGTCCCACTGTGATCCCTGGCGTGTGTGGTTCCTTCCTACTGTCTGTAAGCCTCTTTTTCTGTTCTTCAGGGAGGCAGGGATTCCTCCAGACTGAGTTCACACACATCTCTCTGTCCCTTTTTAACACCACTTTATAAAATACAGGTATTTGCAGAATAATCTTAATTTGTTTTTGTCATCAGGCCACTAGTGCCTTTCTCATCTGAATAGTAAGTTGTTTAGCAACCTATTCGTATGGATGCATCATTTAAAACAAACAAACAAAAAAACCAAAACAAAAACCAACTAACAAAAGCAAACAGTGGCTTTGAAGGAGATTTCAACTCATGGAGACTTCATGGGGATCAGACATGCTCCATAGGGTTTTTGATGTCTATGTATCTAGATAATGTCCAAGAATAACAGAAGAATATGTGCCTTGGAGTTGTGGTGCTGGAGAAGAATCTTAACATACCACAGACTGCCAAAAGAAACAGGTCTGTCAGAGACAGTGAAACCAAGTTTCTTCCTGGAGGCAAGGATTTTGAAGCTCTGTCTCACATACTTTGGGCACATGGCCAGGAGGGACCAGTTCTTAAAAAGGACATCATGTTTGGAAGGGTAGAGGAGAGGTGGATGAGAAGACCTGGGCTGAGAGAGACTGACACAGGGTAATGGGACAATGTGTCAGAGTCAGTGAGATCAGCTCAGGATAGGGCAGCGTTTAGAGCTATTATACACACGGTCCCTATGAGTCTCTGGTAACTAGATGGCCCATAACAACTTCATCAACAACAATTTTTTGGAAGGAGGTCACCAGACATTTCTTCTAAGGCACCTGTGGGTGGACTTGAGCCCTCAACCTTTCAGTTAGCAGTCATGAGCACTAACTGTTTTTACCATCCAAGGACTGGAGCACATCCTAGTAGTTAATACATCATCTGTGTTTGAATGAATGAAAAATACCGGTCCGACTCCCTGCCACTGCTTGGACCATGTTAGAAACTCTGGTTTGTGCTCTTACTACTACGGGTTTTCTGAGACTCTAAATTGCAAGGGAGATTGTCTGTCTTTCTCTCTCAAAGCCACTGTTGGATTCGAACCACTGGAAAGGCAGTGCCTTTGGGTCAGCAGCACGGCTCCCTACAGACTACACCACCAGACCACCAGAGCGCCTCTGAGATGTGTTGGTTTTATTGCTTTGGGTTTGGGGGCTTTTTCAGTTTGAGCTTTCTCTGAAGCCGCAGAATTGTAGGATTCCCAGTGTCTGGAAAGAAAATGAAGGTGTCTTCTTGCAGAGTAAGGCAGGCACTAAAGAATCAGCAAGGGCTGCCCAGCCTTAGGGGGGAAAAGAGACAGAAAAAAGCCCCACCAAGTCGGAGAGAGGAGCAGACCCACCTCATGACCGGGCTGCAGTCACTGCCTTTGTAGGAGCCAGAGTTGCTGCTACTTGGGGATGATGGTGTGTAATTGGAATGGACATTAATAGGACTCAGCTGACCGCGGCACAGGATGGCCAGGAGGTCCTTCTCCCGCGGGGATGGTGGGCTGTTGACAGATTTGTGGGATGAAACTCCATTGCTCCGCCCATGGGGACCTCGACTAGGAGAGAAGCATCAAACGGGTTAAGATCCTTGTCATTAGAGATGCTCACATGTTAGTGTTTTACTCCTTACAGATACTTAGTCATTTACTAAGGAAAATGCATTCACAACCTCACAAGGGCTTGCATTATTCACGCAACTGTCCACACGAGCAGCCTTCTTCCCACCTACTTGCTATTTCCATTCTCTGCATTATTAGCACAGGCGACCTCTCTAGCTGCTATTTCAAAGGATTCCCTCCCACGAAGCTATTTACCAATTAAACTCAATTGCTTGCAAAGAGCAAAATAATGTAAAACACTGATTTAAGTTAAAACATTGATTTGGTTTAGGTTCATTCTGGAAGTGAAATGGAAGGAGTCTGTTTGAGGGCATCTGCTTCCGTTTAAAGATTTGGGTTTGGCTGCCAATAAGGGGAAGAAAATGAGGGCAGTTCATTTGGTGGAGGGAGGCGAAGGAATGCCCACCGAGGAGGAGACAGCAGGACCGAGGCCCACACGGATTGATCACGTCTGTAATTCTGATCGCATGAATACTGTCTTCTTTTCCTTCCATGCCAAAGCATTAGCACAGTCCTCACCTTGTACCTGTGGGAATACTGGAAGAGTTCTCTTCCGATTCCCATGTCTCTTGTGTCGTCCCTCCGTCAAGGAGGATGACCAGGTGGCTGGAGTAGGCTTTCTAACATGGAACCTGAACATAAAGCCATGCACTGGTTCCCAACTGCCTTCAGAACAACAGCCAGGCTCCTCACCATGACTCACCAGATCCAATCCTGCCCGACCCAGAAAACCCCACTCTGCACCCATCCTCCCTGTTTCCTCTGGGCTCCAGGATGCCAAATGACTTATAAATTCCTGAGGAACCCACGTTTCTGATTATGCTTCTGAATTGACATTTTCCTCCATCCACCAGGTCTTCCTCCCACTCTCTAATGGGATAGTTACTACTGCTTCAAGACTGATGATCGTCTGTTCTAAGTGGGCTTCTCTGAATTGCTGTTACTCCAGGCAGGTTTGGGTGTCTCTCTTTGGTGTCAGCTATGACTCATAGTGACTCTAGGAACAGTGTTGGAAACCATGCCACATCCTGAGCCATCCTCACAATCTCCACCAAGCTCAAGGCCACCACGGCAGTCACACGTCAAGGTTTCACTGAGGGTCTTCTTCTCACTGGCTGACACTCTACCTTTCCAAACATGGTGCTTTCTAGTACTCAGCAAGGTCCTACCAGGAAAATGATCATACTTTCCACATCATTCTTGCTTCTCTTTCCATCAGACTAGGATAAGCTTGAGGGCAGAAGCCTAGCCTTTTCAATGGCCCTGAAAGTTGGTTCCCACTGAGCTGATCTGACTCATGTGATGCCCCAGACGTCAGAGTAGAACTGGGCTCCACGGGGTTTGCAGGGGCTGCTTTTTCAGGAGTAGACCTCCTGACCTTTCCTTCAAGGCTGCTTCGAGTGAATTCAAACCTCTCACCTTCCATTTGGTGACTGCACATTACTGACCATCTGCACCAGTCAGGGACTCAGCCTTTTCTGGGAGTCAGGTCAAGAATGACCCATTAGTACAAATAACAGCGGTGACTCTTAGCTCACAGCAGAATTTGGGGAAGATCAGAGTGGCGATTAATCAGGACAAGCGAACTACTCATGAAATGACCACTGACTGAATCAACCAGATCTGAGAACTGGGGTTGCCACTTACTGGGAACATGGGCAAGTAAACTCCTTAATTTCATCTATCTGGGGACACATAATAACTTTTCCTGCCTTCCTCCCAGGGCCAGTGTGAAAATCAAATGAAAGAATGCAAGTGCATTCAATAAGCTGTTAAGGGTAGTTCAGCTGTAGGGCAGTATTAAAGGATAAACTTATTTGGACTTCCCTGTTAAACTATTTGCAGAGACTTGATACCTACTGGGATGAGGAAGAATCCTGAAAATGTTGAAATAACTTAAACAGGATAACAATCCTGTGCCAGGAATATTACTTGATGATATTACAAGAAAATAAAGGGGAAACAGGATACCTTCCGGAGAGCAGGGCCTGCTTTTTGACAACCCTCTCTGCAGTTTTAACTGCAATCGTATCTAACACATCTTGACAAGAAATGGGTGTCCATGTGATGATGAATGTGTGTGTGTGTGTGTGTGTGTGTGTGTGTGTGTGTGTGTGTGTAAACTCCATTCCCAAACTGTAATTACTTCTTTGACATCTAATTCAATTCCCACCAGCTGTCAACCCAGCAAATCACACGTAAAGGAAATAGTACCAAATTCTGAAGTTAATAAGTTAATAGTTCTTTCCTTTTGCAATCATCCAAGAGGGCTCCCCCTCTTTTCCGTGAGAAGGGGACACTTTATATGGAACAGATGGGCTGATGGCTTTCTGACAAACCGAGCTCAGCAGTCCAGGGTGGGATGACTGCATGAGGAACTGAAGGGAGCCTGTTCTCTGGCTGGAGTTTCAACTCCTTGCTTCATTTGTACATTCTGCACCAGCCAGTTTATTCCTTTTTTTTTTTTTTTGTGAAAGGAGTTTTATTTACTTACTTTCTTAAATTGTGATTTGAGCTAAAGTTTACAAAGCAAATTGGTTTTACATGCTATAACTCGGGCATTCTATTTTCTAACATTCATTACGATACCCACAATATAAGTTTATTCCTCAAGGTGCCTTTGGGACCACAGAGAAGGAACTGTTGTAAATTAGGAGTGACAGTAAAGTGTTATCCCTTAATCTGACCCACGCAATTCTATTCTTGTGTTGTGTACCACTGAGTCTGAACCGACTCATGGCGGACCCTCTAGCAAGTCTTCCTAGGTTGTAAATTGCATAGGAATAGACTGCCCATCTTTCTCGTGTGGAGCTCCTAGAGGATTTGAGCTGCATGCCTTCAGGTTGGCAATGCAGTTCCTTGCCACCAGGCCACCAGGGCTCCCTGTTCTGAGCTAAGCCATACTGAGGATGTTTTGTAAGCCCTGCCCTGCTCTGAATGCTTTATGATGTTGTTTCATTTCATTTGACCATAATTTCTGTAAGAGAGGTACCCCATTTATGCACGAGGTGGACTGATTCTAAGGTAAATAACTGCTCTAAGAACACACAGTTGAGGATTCAAATCTAGGTCTTTTAACTCTGGAGAGCTCTCTCCTGCTTAACTCCATGACTGCTGTGGACGTGTGACCAGATGCCTGACTGGTGACATGCAGCATGGGCAGTCTCTAAGAATTCGTCTGATACACATGAAAAAAGCAAGACTCTCCAAGTTAGAGAACTGTAGCCAAGGTACAGGCAAGTCTTCAAACACATTGTAGGAAATGAATAGTTTTATGGTAATAGCTAACTTTCAAAAAATCAACTATATACTTCAAACTATCTCTGGTGTCTTTTATTTAGTTTAATGCAAGTGCTAGCATAATTGTTATTTTATTTGTTGTTGTGTGCCATTGAGTCACAACCAACACAGCTGTCAAAACCCTCCAATAGGTTTTCAGAGGCTGCGCAGCACATGACGGAGGGTGCCTAACTTGCTCCTGCAGAGCAGCTAGTGGCTATGAACTGCCTGCCTTTGGGTTGGCAACACAACTCCTTACCACTAGGCCACCAGTATGAATGGCCATTGATGAAAAACATTTTCAAAGGAGGACCTGAACGTTCATGTCTGTCCCAACTGTGAAGACCAATTTTGATGCTGCCTTCCACAGCCTACCCCAACTCCTTGTCTTGACGATAAGAAGGATGCAATCCATGAAGAAGAGGTGAGATTCTGTTGACCTGCAGCCTTCCTACTGCCCTGAATTCAGCATCTGGACTGTAACAACAGGAAGGAGTGAAGAAAGAAAACCCACCAGACCCCACTTGGCTGGTCTATTCCCCCATCCACACCTTCTCTTTCCTTCCACTGCCACTAGTATTGGCCTCTTTATTGCTGTCATCATCACTGCCTCTGTTCGCATTACTATGATCATAACCAACAAGAACAATGTCTTACTGACCCTTTCAGTCAGCTCTGGGCACTGTATTAAGAACTCATGCACATCAGTTCCTTGAAGATGACAATGTAGGTGGCATTTCCCAGTACAGGAAAGAGTCATGCACCGAATCTACAATGAAGGCTGAACTGAACCCTAGCTTTGTCTAACTCCAAGCCCCTCACTTCTACCCGCCTCTGACCAGGTCAGGGAAAGAGAAATTGCTCGGACATGCCAGCAGAGCTGACCTTCTATAAGATGGAATGACTTGTACACTATTAAAGTTTGTTTGCTTTTTAAAAAGCACCTTTGAAATATATTTGTAACACTTTTCTCACACCCCTTTCACTCCATCAAATGCTCTCACCAGCTTACCACCACTGGCTCATTCTCCACTGAGAAGATTCCTTCGACACAGGAAGAACTAGTTATCTGAAGGGTCACAAGCAATTGCAGACTTTGCTATCACCACCCAATTGATGGGGTTCTCAATGCATGGCCCTATAGGACCAAAAGAATCTGCAAAATGTCCAAGACTTCATCATCGAAATCTACTGACAGTGCACCACGCTTAGGGCTGATGAGAAAGTAAAAATAATGGGCACAGAACACTGGCAATTTCAATTCTTCATCTACTCATTTTTTTAACTTTTTAAGTAATCATGGCTTCGTTATAATAGATTCTAGCATAGATTTTAAGCAGACTCATATTTCGCTATCTTATGTTTAATGTATCCATTTTCCATCACTTGAAGAAACCATAAATTCCAGATTATTTTCCCAAGATCACTTAATATTATTGCCACTATCTTGGAATTTAAACACAAGCTCAAATATCTTTAAAATGCTTACTAAAATTTGGTTTCTTCTCCGAATTGTTCTTACGCCTGCCTCTTTCTATATTCTTTGAAATCTTGGCATATGAGATATAACTTACTAAATGGATTAAGTAAGTGACTTCTCAGAGCAACCTAGATCTCTTATTTATACCAAAAAAAAAAAAAAAAAAAAAAAAAAAAGTTGATATTCAGGCCCTGTGATTCCAGAGGCATTTTCTTTCCCAAACTGAGGGCATTTGGGGATAGAGTCCTTGTATTTTGACTGTGGACTTCTCTCTAGTGTTCCAGGTTTATCTGGTCCCAGCTTTGTTTTTAATAACATAACTGCACTGGGGTTCTCAGGTCGCTTCTCAGCATCAGCCAACCTGCTACTCACCCAAAAGTTGCAGGAAAGGTTTTCTTGCTGGGACCTGGACACATAAGCTTTTGGAGATTACACAATTCTTGTCCAGGAAGATCAAGTAGTTCAACTTCATCTTTTATAAATGTGGACACTGAAGCCCGTGAGAATCGAGTGACTTGTCCAAGAACAGAAGACAAGTCTTCCCTGGTAGTTCTGTGTTCTCTCTGTGCCCAAGTCCTGCTCAGAGCTCAACTCTTCACAAACGTGTCCTGACACAGACTGTGGCTGTGTGCCACTGAGCTGACGCTAACTCATGGCAACACACGGACAACCCATCAAAAGCCCGCTTGATGTGTGCCATCCTCCTGAGTGGCCTATCGAGAATCTAGCTCATACTCCACCGTTTTTGACATTTCCCATCCTGATTTCTTTTTAAATCCAAAGCAGTCACTGACAAATTATTTGTGAATTTGTTGTCTTTCTTGTCCTCCTTTGCTGTTTGTTACGTGTTGACAAGTCAGAATGGACTCACGGCTGACCCTCCAGCAGGTTTTTGGGATGCCGCGCACTGCACAGGAGGAGACTGCCCCTCCATGGCCTGCAGGGCAATGGGTGGACTTGAACTGCATGTCTTTGGGTTGGCAGTGCAACTCCTTACGCACGAGGCTGCAAGAGCTCCCTACTAGAATGAGCGTCATTTCCATGGAGTTCTGTGTATTGTCGTATCTCCAGGACATGGCTCATAGTGATGCATGATAAATGCTGACTGTGTGAGTGAATCAAGTCAGTGGAGCGGAGGAGAGATTCCTGAAGCTCGCAGCTGCCTCACCAAGTGCCCAGTGCCTCTCATCTGCTCATAGTCTTCTCTCCTCTAGTTCAAATAACACCCACTCGAACATGTCAACGCTCACTATGCCCCCCGGACATACTGGCTGGCACTTTATTTGGAATAACTCATTTAATTCTAACAATAAACCCTATGATAGGAACATCATACATTATTTCAGCCCCAATCTCAGTGGTGGAGAGACTAAGGTTGAGAAGTTAAACTTGTCCAGGCCAGTGATTGCTTCATGCAGTGGTGGCCACCCCTGTCTGTGAACACTGCACACTTTCTCTCTTACTCAGGTGAATTTGAGGAGTGGTTGGGCGCACAGCACAATTCAGTGAAAGAAAGAACGGACCCAGAACCTTCATAGCTTTGAGCACGGTGGCAGGAAGAGTCAGGTGGGAAACGGGCGAGTCATGGCACGGTGATCAGGTGAGTACGCAGGTGAGTGAGGGAGAGGAGGGGAGAAGCAAACACAGAACCAAGGACCAGACAGGAGACAGTTGTGAGTGGACAAACACTGTCTGACTATGTGACTCTAGGAGGTAAAGTAGGGAAATACCAATTTCAAACCACTGTTAGAAGCAGAAAACACCTGACTGAATAATAAAGAGGGCAGCGCGATCCAGGTGATTCTAGCGAGACAGAAGGTACAGGTAAGTTACCTGCGCAGAGTTGTAAGAGTTAGAGGGCTGGGGATGGTGCCTACTTGCGTGCAAAGGAGGAACGCTTGCTTCCCGCAGCGGACATATGGACCTCAGGAGCCGAGATGCTGCCGGTGCTGCTCGAGGAGCTAAAATCAGCTTCGCTACCTGCAAAACAAGAGACAGAGAAGCATGAAGATCTTGAAAGCTGAGAAGGTGCTGGCCAGCTCCCTGTCATGGGCAGCACGCCTGCTTTCCAGGATCTCTTGCTCCCAGTCTTTGCACACCCCCACTCTGTGTGTGGAAGATTCCAGAGCTCCGGTGTTGTTCTCTGGAGATGAGAAGGTACAAGCCCCAGGACATCACAAACACAGCTTAGATACACAGTGAAGCAATGTCTTCAAGACACTCACGTCGCAGCTGGCTAGCAGCAGTGAAAAAAGAAACACTCGCCTCTCAACTGTAGCCAAAGAAAAAAATATACTTATCGGTCCAAACGTAGTTTTGAGAAGAGTTTATCTTTGGTCCTTTGTAATCAGCCAGCCACCCTGGAATCTGGCACACTCATTCCAGAGACAGCGCCAGCCATGAGCCGTCCAGGAACAATGCCTGGCTCCAGATAAGTGCTTGACAGACACTATCTGATGCCTGACTTTCTCGGGCTGCAGCTTCAGTCTTTCTATTCAGATAAGAACTTTAGAAAAGAAAAAAAAAGCAGCAATTCAGCATTTCCTAACATATCAAAAAAGCCTATGGTGACTCAAGGGAGCTGCTTGAATGGTACTAAAATTGGGATTTCAGTTTAGTATGGGCTTAAGTAAGTGTTCATCTATTTACAAAGATCATATTACATTTTGAACACAGATTAGAGTATGTAACCATAATAGAAAAAAGCTGTGTCGTTGCATAACTCACAGAAATTCATCTGTAACAGAAAGAAAAATGTCCCTAGTTCAGAAATAGTAATAACAGAAATACTCCCATGGATTGCCTGGAGAATGGAACGAGAATAATTTTTTTCCACCTTAGTCTTTTAATTTTTTATTATGATTTATTTGCAAAGTTTGAATACATTGTTTTTCACAAAAGATCCTTCCCATAGGGTTGCACAATTTGATGGGTGGATGGGGTGAAGGTATTGTTTTTAAAGTTGAGAAATTGCACTTGCTTTTAGAAAAATAAATTCTGATGTTGTTAAGTGTCATCAAGTTGACTACCACTCATGGCAACCCAGTGAACCACACAGCCAAACCGGCCCTGTCCTGTCCCTTCCTGACAATCTCCAACGCGCTCCACTCCATTGCTCCAGTCATCGTTGTCAGTACTTGGTAAAGGTCTTCCTCTTTGACGGTCCACCTTTCGCGGCATGATGTCCGGAAAAGCACTGGCCCCTCCTTATGCCCAATGTCTGTGAGACTCTTCTAGTCTTTGAGGAGCACCCTGGCTGCATTCCTCCAAGACAGGCTGATTTGTTCTTTGGCAGTCCATGTCTTCTGTACTCTCCACCAACATCACAATTCAAAGGCATCTATTATTCTTCAGTCAGCCTTACTCGTCCAATTTTCAGATGCACAGGAAGCAACTGAAAATATTGTGGCTTGGCCATGTGCACCTTAGTCTTTAAAATGGAATCTTTGCTCTTGAGCACTTTAAAGAGGTCAATGACAACAGATTTTCCCAAATTCACACATCTTTTTATTTCCTGACTGCTGCCATGGGTGTTGATTATGGCTCTAGGTAAAAGGAGAAAAAGGACAGCTTCAATCCTTTCTCCACCTGTCATGAGGTTGCCTACTGGCACAGGGTAAGGATTTTTATTTTCTTGATGTTGAGACATAATTCATAGCGCAGGCTGCCATCTTCAATCTTCCACAGTAAGTGCTTCGAGTCTTCATAGTCTGTAAGCAGTAAGGCTGTTGTGGAGTCTCCCTCCAACCCTGACGCCACGTTCTTCATAGGGTCCAGCTTCTTAAATTATCTGCTCAGCATAGAGCCTGACTAGGGATGGAGGAAAGATATAACCCTGACACACACCTTTCCTGATTTTAAACAAAGCTGAGTTCCCTTGCTCTGTTCAACAACTGCTTTTTTTGATCTACATGTAGGTATCCCATAAAGCAAAGTTAGTGTTCTGGGGTTCCCATTCTTTTCAATGTTATCTGTAGTTTGTTATGATCTAGATAAGGCTTATTTGTATTTGAGATGAGGAAAATTTTAAGAACTTCATCACTTAGGTTTCTAACAAGCAGTGAGTAATAATCATAACAACTGACTGAATGCCCTCTGTGGGAGCATGTCACTTAATCCCGGAATCCTTTTCATTAATCTTGCCATTCTACTACTGAGGATAGGAAGATGACTTGCCTAAGATTTGTAAGTGATGCACCCCATTAAGGATATAAAGGCTTCGTGCTACTTCTATCCCATCAGGCTGTGCGTTCTCAGTTAGGCAGTGGGAAGAAGCAGAGGCACCGCCCGTTACCACCATGCTAACAGCCTGGGGAGCCATAGGTACACGCTGCAGCCAGACTTCGGCCCACTGCTGAGAATATTCCTGACTGGAGAGTTTTACCAATTTTGCTGGTGGTAACGGAAAGGCTAGAAAAATGCCTTTCCCAGCTTCCAGAGTTTCCAGGTCACCTCTCACAAAGCCCAGCCTCTTCTGGGAAAGAGATCAAGAATGACCCCTTGGCAAAGATTACAGCAGTGGCTTGTAGCTCGCAGCAGAATTCGGGGAAGATTAGGGTGGCAATTTATTACAACAAAAATCAGCTATTCCTTCTGGATTTCAGAGACTTTGTCTGACATGTAATGAGCTCCCAGAAGCTTCCAGATCCTAATTAGTGGCCTCTGAGTAATGCACTGGCTAAACTGTAGTCTTTTACAATCTCAAGGAGTCATGCTTCCTGGTGCCATTTAACACATGCTCTTCCTGACAGTCTAATTCAATCCAGCTTTCTCTGCTAATAAATTATCAGGCTGGTTATTAAATGATAAAAGAGCACAGTTGTGTTGTTGTTGTTTTAAAATAGATCCTGTGAATCTAGCCATCAGGTTTAAAATAACACTTTTTAAAAAATTTTATTTTATACAGGTTTCCATACAAAGCTCATCAAGTTTGTATTTTTAATGTAAAATTATTACTCTGAAATACTTAGTTTCTATTTTATACAAAAGTCCATTAACTATCTTTTTTTCCTGCACAAAAACCAACATCCTAAGGCACAGACAATAGTTCAAAAGCCACTGTTACTTCATGATGCCTTTGGTCTGTGGTAATTACATACTCTGAATAAAAGGAACACATTTTCTATACTTCATTGCTACTTGACTTCAATATAATCAGACATTTGGAAGGTCTAAAGTCAGTTCATCCTTTTTTTATCTTATCTTCTGCTTATCTGAAGGGGAAGAGAAGAATCATTAGGGTGAACCAGCCGGCTGCAAGTCAGAATTATATGAAGCCAATTTTGACTCAAAGCAGTCCACATGACACAGAACTGTCCCCTAGCACTGTAGTGGTAGCATCCACAGCAATTTGTACTACCTCCTCCTTGGTAATTTACAGCCTCTGAAACTGGAGGCTCAGCTATGAGTCAGTCTGACTCTGTAACAATGAGGCTTTTTAAAAAAAAATCTTTATGGGAGCAGATTTCTCCCGTGGATTCACACAACTCAAAGCCATTCTGTTGGAACTAACTTGCAACTGATCCTCTGGCAAGCTTTCACAGGCAGTAAATCAGAAGGGAAGAAACGGCCCTTTTTCCTCCTGGCGAGGAGCTGAACCCTCCACCTTTGGGATCATCACTCCTTTTTCGAAATGAGGCAGAGAGAGATCAAGTGAAATGTACAAAGTGATATAGCTAGTAAGTAATGGAGCAAAGAACTGGAACTCAGATCTTCTGAACTCTGGGTTTGAGCTCTTACACACCAGGTTTATCTTCTGATGAATATTTGAAAGCATATATTCTATATCTTGCCCGATTATATTCTTGGAATAAACTTCTAAAAGCAGAATTGCTAAGTCAATTCATTGAAAGACTCTGAACCATATTCTATGGGAACTTTGGGTGGCAATTGTCTAAAGCAGTTTTGTGGTCAAGAAATTATTTACTGCCATCTGTCTAATGTACCAGCACCCAACAGGTGCTCTCTGATGTCACAAAGCTAATGAAAGAACTTTTACTTTTCAAAGAGAGGAGTGAACTGGGCAGGAGGGGTAGGCAGGGAGAATAGTGCAACAACGAATGAATGGAAATCCAAAATCTCTGTAAACGTTCATTAAAATTAATATATAAAAGAAAAAAGACAATGGTGGGTGGGCGGGCGGGGTAGGGAGGAAAATGTGCAAAAACGAATGAATGGAAATCAGAGATCTTGGTAAACTTTCGTTAAAATCTCAATAAAACATTATTTTTAAAAAGTTCTTCTGAAGTACATCCAATAGAATTGACTATTAGCAGCAAAGGTTTGGGGATGTTACACTAGCTAGTAAGTGCTTCACAGACCAACATTTTTAGTTTTGGAGAAGTACCTTCCTGAATTCCCCATAGGTGCATATCTTGGAAAGGGAATATTTGACCAAAAGATTCATAAATTGAACGAAGGTTAACAGAGCTATCATATACTTTAAATTATTCATACTTTAAAGCATTATATGTAAACACTCAAAAGCAAAAAAGAGGTTCCATCCAATTTAAAGGATTCTAAAGTGAATTAATTTTGTGTTGATAAATCTAAGTAAAGAGAAAACTACTTATGGAAAAGTAACAATGAAAAATTAAAGACAAAGGATAAACGGAAAGAAAATATTGACCACATGTAACAGAAAGGGGCTAGGTTCCTTAACTGACCACACTCAAAGCTCATATAAATGAAAATAAAACAAAAGCAGAAAATGTAAAAGGTCATAAAGGGGCTGATCACAGAAAAGACAGACAAATAATCACTACATGAAAAGTTTCACAATCCCATTTGTAATATTAAAATGGAATTGAAAACACTACGTTGGTTTTTTTCACCTATCAGAGATTAGCATAAAGTACAAGTCTGATAATGTGTTGTTAATATGTTCTATTGAGTTGGAACTAACTCCTCGGTGACCCTCCAGTGAGTTAACAAAGGCCACAGATCGCAGGGGAGGAGACTGCCCACCTTTCTCCTGTGAA